ATCGCAGATGTGAATGTTGTGCAGGGGTGTGTGTGTGTCATGGATGCAAATCATTCGAGAATGGGCGGCAAATTAGGAGATCGCTGCATGTCGACACGCTGGGCTTGCAGTCAAGTCCCACGTGTGTTAGATAGCGCCACAGAAGCAGCAGCAGTAGCAGCGTGGTGGTTCGTGCTGCTTCCAGATTTACGGGATTCAGTCAAACTCAGCTGCACTCTCCCCGTGTCTTATCGTCCCTTCCTGCCATCACTGCATTGACGTGAACGCCCGGCAGAATTTGACGTGGGTCGACATTGAACAGTGTCGCCGCGTTGACGGCGCGCCGTCTTGCACTGCCTGGGAGGTGATGACCGTGCGATGTTGCGAGGGCTCCTCTCTGCGTAACATCTGAGCAACAGCAGCAGCATCTCGGTAATGCGATTTCAAGGCGAGGAGTTCAGGGTGGACCTGAGTAAATGCACGTTGGTTACTGTGGGTTCAACTGTTAACAAACTTGGCTGAATGAAGTAATTTCAGATAGGGGAGCTGTAACGGGCACGTGCGGTGACTTGATATTGGTGGGATGTTTTTGCGTAACACCCACGTTATTATTGTGCGTGCGGTGCATGCGGTGTGTGTGCTGATTTTATGAAATGTATGTATGTCGAACTTCTTTTGCACCATACGTAACCGACCGTGGCACCAGAGACACTTCACGCAGGTCAGTGGGGCTCCTGAGCCTCGGAGACGACAGCGACAGTACGCGGCGGTGCGCTTCTCTAAAACATTGCAACACGTAAAATGACATTTCTTAGCTTATTTATTTTTCTGTTTTATGTCGGGTGATAAACGTATAACTCAATGAGATTCATTGTCTAATTTCGTTGGGAGAGAAGGAAATTGTATTTACACGAGGACCGTTATTGTTTTTACGTTTGTAATTAAGTCGCAAGTAACTTTCAGGTTTTTCTTTTATTTTTATAGAAAGGAATGGATCTTAAATTGGGAATTTAAATTCGCAGTGGATTGGTAAAATCTCGATTACGCTTCTGTGAGGAGCATTAGCGTTTTGCGTTATCAAGAGTGAAGAGTGATGTGGCATCAAGATGTGGCATCAAGAGTGAAGAGTGGTGTGGCATCAAGATGCGGCATCAAGAGTGAAGAGTGGTGTGGCATCAAGATGTGGCATCAAGAGTGAAGAGTGGTGTGGCATCAAGATGCGGCATCAAGAGTGAAGAGTGGTGTGGCATCAAGATGTGGCATCAAGAGTGAAGAGTGGTGTGGCATCAAGAGTGAAGAGTGGTGTGGCATCAAGATGCGGCATCAAGAGTGAAGAGTGGTGTGGCATCAAGATGTGGCATCAAGAGTGAAGAGTGGTGTGGCATCAAGAGTGAAGAGTGGTGTGGCATCAAGATGTGGCATCAAGAGTGAAGAGTGGTGTGGCATCAAGAGTGAAGAGTGGTGTGGCATCAAGATGTGGCATCAAGAGTGAAGAGTGGTGTGGCATCAAGATGCGGCATCAAGAGTGAAGAGTGGTGTGGCATCAAGATGTGGCATCAAGAGTGAAGAGTGGTGTGGCATCAAGATGCGGCATCAAGAGTGTCAACCAATTGCCACTGTTTAATTGTCACGTCGTAGTTCAGCCTGTGATGTGTGACAGGTGTGAATTTATCGATGGGAGGAAACATTTGGGTGTCGCGTCCAGTCGAGGACACTCCTGGCTTATGGTTCTGGGATATTTTTGCAGAAGTCCTCCAAAATGTTTATCGCAATCAGAATATTTATTTATACTACAGGAGGAATCCGATGAGCTATGAAGCTCTTTTCACAGATGTCCAGTCGGGGCACGGGGTAATAACGTTACAACATACAATAAACAAACATGGCAGTAGTGCAAAGTACATGAAAGGTACCCAAACATATACAAATAAAACTAAACCATCCCCATCCTACCGGGCAAAGCCCACCGAGGTATTAACTTATTTTTTCAGTCCTTGCCAACGAATGGCTGGCTTCACAAAGTTTGGTTTCGTGTGGCATTGCCCACACTTCACAGTGCACCTCCTGGCCATCAGCGTTGCGATTGACAATGGTCAATGCCCTCGTGATGGGAACGCGTCTTGGTGAATGTTTTTATCCTCTTAGACGTGCCAATGGCGCCCGCAAGCATCTCGAACGCCTCGTGCACACACACAGTTCGCTGTGGTTAACGATACCAACGGGAGGGGGTCCTCCTGAACTGTTCCTGTAGGAACAAGGAAATATCCTACTGCTATGAGTGGAGCATGCCTCCAAATTCTTCCACACCATTACGGATAATTGGCAGGCGATTGGAGTGTATTTAGTGTAAAACAGACGTCGAGGGAAAAAAAGAGATGAGTCACGAGCAGAGCGCCAAACTTTTCAGGCCTTCGCTGCGACAAACCTCCTGCCGAACAGGGACGGCTGCCACAGGACGGCCAATCTCTGCTAGACTTGCAGCAGGCCAATGGAATGCTTGAGATGAGGCGAGACATAGAGCGCCGCGCGATGCTGAGCCGTTTAAGCCAGTGCATCTAAATGCGCATCCTTATCCTCATGAACAGCCAGGGGAGGATAAAAAAAGACGAGTGTCGGTTACGCCATCTGTCACCTCGTTGAAGGATGGTGTCCGACTGCACTGCATGTCTACGGAGGCCAGGATTGAGCGAGATCAACTGGTACAGGGTACCTATTGTAATTTACATGAATACATTAACTCCCCCCCCACAACCTCTGGTCTTCGCACCCTGATTCGCTCAAATTGATGACATCACATTTACACCCTCTAATTCAGACCGAAACAGGAGGAGGATTTCTCCACAACTCTGGCTGTCGCTTGATGATGCTGGTTGTAATTACTAATGAAACGTAGGTTTACCGGTGGTGCTGAACTAGTAACTAAATGGCTAATTGGCTGCGTCGGGTGGTGCTGGGTTTAACGACACATTTATATTGACGCGATCTAACCCGAAAAAAATCACCTCTATTATGGATAATATTGTGCACAAAAGCCCTTCTACGACGACGCATTAAACTGGCACAGGCAGAAGATGAGTTGCGAGCAGCGACGCGGATAAGGGGGACACGTTGTCTGCCGACCGGATTGAGCAGGCTCACGGGGGGCTAAGCGGGCGCATATTAAACGCTGGAGACCGATATCCCAGCGTCCGTTTTAACGTTTATAGCCGCAATCTCTGTTGACACTCGCAACTTGACGTCTCGGTTGGTCCACTTCACGCGCCAGCGGCGGATTGCCCCGTCTGTTTGTGATAACACATCGTTATCGCCACCACTTTCAGATGGCCCAGTTTTAATTGCCTTAGTCGTGCACACGTATAGCACAGCCCCGTGTCAGACCACTGCTGGAATAGCAGTGGGAGTTATTTGACAATACTTCACCATGCTGGTCAATGCTGGTTGGTGAAGGCAGGGAGCATAAAGGTACAATACAGGAATGGAGTTTACTTCACTGCCCACTGCTACCCACCACGTAACACCACAACCTTATAGCATGGTGATCACCCATCAAAGCACGGTACAGGTGGCGAGATGTTAACTACCTCGCCTGGTATGCAGGAGGACGTGGGTTGGATCCCAACCCCGATGCCTGCTGTATATTTTGAGTTTGCAAGTTCTCCCCATGGTCACATGGATTTTTTCCCTGGTTCCTCTGGTTTTTCCCTCAACATTTAGAAACATACCTTTTGAGTATTTGGTTGCTATATATTTCCACATGATAAGCCACTTTGTTATCATTTGTGGCCAGGTCACTTGTGAAAAAGAGCTATATAGCTCAGTGGGCCTGACCTATTAAAATAAAAAGTTTTGTTTATAGTTAAGGGTAACCCTGCTTAGCTTCGGAGATTTGATGATATGAGTGCATTCTGGGTGATTTTAACAGGGCTCATTATTTCTATCAAGAGGGAATCACAGTCACTTATACCAGGGGTCCCCAACCCCCGCGCCATGGACCGGTACCGGTCTGTGGCCTGTTAGGAACCGGGCCGCACAGCAGGAGGTGAGCGGTGAATCCGCACGTTATTTACCACTTCCGTCCGCGCCTCTTTCCCGCACCGCGCACTCGTCTCAGTCACAGTGTTGGTAAGCCCACAAGCTCTAGCCCCTAGTAGCCAAAATGAGTAAAAAACAAACGTCGCTGGAGAGCTTCTTTGAAAAGGGGGAAAGACCCAATGATGAACACCCCCCCCCCCCCCCCCCGTCAGTGAAAAAATTGTCTTCCACGAAACCGGTCCCTGGTGCCAAAAAGGTTGGGGACCACTGACTTATACCACCGTGTGTCACCATCATGTCTCTCTTCCAGACCCTGTAGCTGTTTCGCGGTTGGCTACGTGCAGTACGAAATAAGTTCAACATACATGGGCAACCCGACCTCCAGTGACCTCTCTGACAGTCTCACTATCACCAACACCACTGTCTGGCTTTAGGTCTCCTGTTCCCCTCGGTTGTCGGACTCTCGGTGCCACTCCACTGCCTGTCTCAGTCACCTTCCCTTCTCCATCCACCCCGCGCACTAATCACATTTCCACTTTCCAATTACAAAAGCAAAGGCAGAGTGGTGTCCTGCTCAATTGACCATTAAAGAGTTGGTGCCCATCTCATGTTTACTGCCCTACAGAGACACTGATAGAATATCCACATTCTTATGGGTGGGGGCGAGTCTGTCCAAAGGTCAATCACTCTTTACCTCCCCACAAAGTGGTCCTCATTCTATCGACCCCGGAGGGATGATGGGCTGAGTCAACCCCCTCCCAGGATTTGAACTCATGACCTTCCATGTGAGCGGCCTGCTGTACCGCAGGGCCTCTCGGCCGGATCTTATAACTCAGAGAAGTATGTGTGTAATATCTGCGTTTCTTAAATATGATTTGATTATGTCATAATGCAAAAGGAATTACTTTGTATAGACCATGGTTGTGTATATAGACCATTATCAGTATGACTGTGTTGCTGATGTATGCATGCCGATTTTGTCGTTTCAGTCCATGAGTGGCGTCCTTTTGGTGATCATGGCTGATGGGATGGTGTTTTACGTTTCACAGAACATCCAGCAATACCTGGGTTTCAACCAGGTACATATCGTGCACCAAGACAAATATTTATTTAAATTGTATTAATCGTACACGTGTAAGTTTCTTCGAGACGGAACTTGCTTACCTCTCTGAGCTTGTGGAGAGGCTTGTTCCAACCACAAATCTGAGATCTGTGACACAGAGCCTCCTTGTGGCTCCTCGGTGTCGAAGTTGCTTTGGAAGGGTGCTAATTCCTCTGTTTGACTCCCAGGTTGTGGAATGACCTCCCAGTTAGCATCGGAGAAGCTGGTAGTTTAATAACATTTTAAAACGCTGCTGAAAACCCATCTCTTTGGCCTCATAAAATTCCATGTGGGGTGATCTGTCCGACGGCTCGGCATCGGCCGTTGATGGTCGGTTTGTGCGTAAAACTCTCTTTCGCGCTCGGATTGGGTGGTTCACAATCCGCGTTTGAGCGTTTCTAGTCTGCGTTTGTGGTCTTGGGGACCGGGTTTATTCGGTTCATAGCCTAAGTTTGTGGGTTCATAGTTCGAGTATCAGGATTCTCCTCAGTCCGGTTCTACAGTGTGTCGGGTGTTGATGGTGCGACATGCAAGGTGTTCATGGTGCAGCGTGTAAGGTGTTCATTGTGCAGCGAGTAGGGTGTTAATTGTGCAGTGTGCTGGTCCACGTTGTGTTCAAGTGGAGTGCACCATGAACCCCATCTAATAAGGAAGGTGTTGCGGTGTTTAAAATTAGGCTAATAGTGTATTTTACAATATCTTTTATATATTTACAACTTTGTATACTTTTTACTATTTTGCATATCTGAAATTTGAATGATGTAATGTTATGTTTACATGTGACGATTTTATTGTGAATGGCGCTATATTAAATAGAGTTTGATTGTTTGTAAACTTCTCGTTTACAACAGTGTCCAGGGTAACGATCTCGATGATGATGTGTCAATGATGACAATGGTGATGATGATGATGACAGTGTGCGCACGCATTGCTGCCCAGACGGACGTGATTCTGGAGAGCGTCTTTGATCTCATCCACGCGGACGACCGAGCCGTGTTCCAAGCACGCCTCTGCTGGGAGGAGACGGAGCGATGTGACTCTGGTAATGGACCACCACACCTCCCAAGTCCTCCGCGCATAGTCGGCGGACGCGGTCGTAATGGAGCACATGGGGACGGGGATTGGGCAGCAGAACACGAAGAGGGAAGTGCTTCATCCTGAGCTGACTACGGTGGCGAGATATTATCTGCCTCGCCTTGCATGCAGGAGATCGAGGGTTCGATCCCGACTCTGACGCCTGCTGTATATTTCAGCTTGCACATTCTCCCCGTGGTTGCGTGGATTTTTTCTCCTGGTCCAGATTCAGGATTACAATTTGTTTCTAGAATATATTTGGTTATATTGCGCTGAATGTAGCAGCCTCTAGTTGCTTGCCTGGGTACACATGGCAGGCAGTAAGTGAAAAGGAGAAATCGCGTGTCGGCCGTTGACTGGTGGTTTGACACAAAAGGGCTTTAGTTTCTAGAGGGCAGAGCTCATTGGAGTGTGCAGTTATATTCTGAGTTTGCATGTTCTCCCCATGGTGGCGTGGATGTTTTCTCTTGGTCCTCCAGTTTTTCCCTTCACATTTAGACTGAACATTCGTTTAGAGTGTTTGGCTGCTATAAATTTCCCCCTGATGATAAGCCACTTCGTTGAGCTATCATTTGTGGCCAGGTCGTTTCTGAAAAAGAAGTTAATGGCTTAGTGGGCCTTACCTAGTACGTAACAAATATATATATATATATTTGCATGTATTTTTATAGCGATTTATTTACCTTGCCTCTAATTTGTACTCCTCCACAATGTTTTTTTTCCGTTAGATCGCATAGATGTGTCGTTAAACCTGCGACCACTCGACACAGCCAATTTGCATGCCTATCATGTTTTTCGATTGTTTTTTGTCGTAACGTTCTGTGAAAATAGCTTTATAGCTCATCGGATTCCTCCAGTCTAAATAAATATTCTGATCTGACTCTGATTGGAATCACCCTGAATGCGCACAATCTCGTCAGATCTCAGGGAGCTGAGTGGTGGGGGTTGGACCTGGACAGTCTGCGGATTTTGGATGCCACCGTGCATAGAGTACGTTGTCAGCAGGCAGCAGTGCAACCATTAATACAGGCGGTCCCCGCTTTTACGATGTTACGTACGTACGTGTGTTGAACTTCTCTCACACTGGACGTAGCCAACCATGATAATCGGAGATGCGTTCCTAGAAACCACATTGTTGTCAATCGGATAGTCATAAACCAGACCCCTGATTTTCTCATTGGCAGTAGAAACAGTCGAAACATCAGTTTGTCGATCTGTTTTGCCTTCTATCAGCCATATTTAACAGAGCTTAATAGGTACACATTCACAAAAAAAACATTCACTTGATAATAACAAAAGCTCCACGCCAAGTGACGTCGAAACCAGACTGACTCTGTTCAAACGCGTTCACAGTTATGTAAATAAGATGCATCGTAAATCGATCCATTATATAAACGGCATAAATCGGACTTTCGTAAACCGGAGACCGCCTGTACAGTTGTACTGTATTATGCTCGAACATCTCTGCTCCCCTACGTTACCAATCTGCACTGACCAGAGTCGTCACGTACGGTCAAGTAGTCCAAACGGCTCAAATTGACATTTACTATAAAGCAAATGGAAAGGAATAATAATGACTACGTAGGTTTACTTTTTTTTAAACAGTGCGCCTTTGAGAATGTAGGTTGAGCTCTTTCATTATTTGTTTCTTGCTGGTTTAAAAACTTTTTTCTTGCATTGTCTCTCCCCCGATAATAACACTATGTAACCACATTTTTGTTCCTGGGTAGTAGGTGTTATTTCGTAATTGCTTATGCCTAAAAAGTATAGAAAGTGGCTATTATTCCCCACAAATTTTGCTTTTGTGACCAGGACAGTGATATTTTGAAATGTACCTATATTCATTGAGAAAATGGGCGAATTTGTGTCTTTTCATTCACATAAAGTCAGAAAAAACTAAATATTAATCAAAATTAACATATATTTAAAATTAAGTAATAAAAAATACTACAAAAGATTTAGAAGTGAGTAGTTTTTCGAGATTTACGATTATACTGTAAATCACTGTCACGAATCAGCCCCAAATCTCGTCTCCCATTATGTTCTCGTTATACTGTCCTTGGTAGCGGCGTTCAAAGTCCAGTATATCCTGGTGGAAGTGCTCGCCTTGCTCCTCCGAGTACACTCCCATGTTCTCCTTGAATTTATCAAAATGAGCATCAAGGATATTGACTTTGAGGGACACCCTAGAGCCCATTGTGCCGTAGTTCTTCACCGAGTCTCAACCAGCTCCACGTAGTTTTCGACCTTGTGATTGCCCAGGAAGCCACGAACCACTGCGACAAAGCTGTCCCAAGCCGCTTTCTCCTTACTAGTGAGCTTCTTGGGGAATCATTGCACTCCAGGATCTCCAATACCACGCTTGGATTATAATCCAAGCGTGGTATTGACACTGTCCCATGAAGGCATGTCTGTTGGGAAACGCTCACAGAACGCAGTAGATGGATCCATGCTCGAGATAACAGCCTCCGAAAGGTGACGTCACGGAACAACTTCCGATGTCCTTTCAAACGCTTTCCCCTAAGCCCCGCTCTCGACGTGTCTGTTGCGTGGCAATCGAACCGTATTTATGTCCTCATAACTGGAACATGCTGAATCAAGTGAACATTTCTCAGCCCATCATCCCTCCGGAGTTAATGTAACGAGTACCACTCTGTGGGGAAGTCAACAGTGGTAGTCCTATGGATAGACTAGCCCCTGCTATAATAATGTGGAATTCCTACCACTGGCTCTACAGGGCTGTAAACAAGAGATGAGCACCAATGCCTTGATGCTCATTTGAGCAGTAAATCACCTCCACTTTGGGTTGATATCATCATCTCTATACATTTGAAGCTCCAGTTTAACAATGGCATCTCAACAAAACCTTGGGTCTACTTTCTGACTTACAGGACTGTGTACGAGCAGTACATCTACGATCGCGTGTACTGGTACAACAGTAGAAGACCTTTTACTTGTAATGTGTGCACGTGTGATCCTATTTCAGAGTATTCCCAGTTAGGATTTGGCTGCAGCGGAGTGATGTGAGGGCTACATTCACATCCAGCACAGATCACCAGAGATTAATTGTGCATGTGCAGCCCGTTTGCCAATCCACTGCTGGGTCAATACATTCTGGTTGGAAGCGAGATGTTTACACGATACGTGCATGGCACGCTTTGGAAGGTGCTGCTTGCTGTTTCGCGCATTCACTGGTTTTTGCCCTATGGATTCACGTACCACTTTGAGGGACATTTTTTGAGTCATGGCTCGGCCTCTAACACCAAGCGGCTCACCTCAGGCGTGAGATGCTAGGTTGCTGTGAAAGACGTGCGAGTGAGCGGCTCAGCCGTGGTTCGACTCAGGCTCAGCTCCATGGAAACCCTGAGCCTAGCCGGGACCGTGCTCGGAGCCGGCTAAAGTTTGAGCACTTGGCTGAGAAGCTGGCTCACTTGAGCCAGAGCCAAGCCAGAGCCGAGCCAGGAGAATACCGGCCTGAGAGTGAAGCGAAGGACGGAGTGTGATTACGGAGCCATTCATCTCCCGTTGGTTCCCGCTCACGGTAACGCAGGCTAAGCAGCACCCCGGGCGTGCATGGAAACCTGAGCCTACGTGCGCGCAGAGAGAGAGGCACGGCCTGCAGACATTGCAGCACCAGCTCAGAGACACTGCACCTAACGCAAAGATCCCCTGTGTAGCTTACGTCGTTTGTTAGCGAGAGTGCTGAAGCAAACACCTGTGAAGGCCAGCGTTGTGCGCTAAGGGGCAGTGTAATAAGAACGATGCCCGGCCACCTTCGTCTCCCCAATGCTGATGTTTGCACACTTCGCCAGGTACTCGTTTAATGCTGAGTTGACCTAGGAGAGACCCAGGACTGGTTTGAATATCATTAGCGACTAATGTTATTTGTGGCCATGAATCAAACCTATGTCGGCTGGTTTATAACGCAATTCGTTAACCACTATGGCACAGCTTCCCCCATAATGCACCAAGTGCAGAGCAACAATCTTAGGAAATCCTGCAATGTGTCAGAGTGCGTGTGTCTCTACGTGTGTGCTATTATGATGAGTGATGGCGCATTGGTTGGTACCTTGCATTATGATCCCAGGCACCGTGCGATTTGTCGACCCTGTGCATCATTGGCAAGTAGCATCGGAACCTATTTTGCCTCTGCGAGGTTGAATCAGCCTTAAGTCCAAGTTTCAAATTAATTTAGTTTAAGCAGGTGAGACCAATATGTCACATTTGCAACAGTCATTTGGGTCAGCAAAATAACACAAAAAGTACAACAATTAAGCGCAGAGAAATCAGAACAAAAACAACCAAATGGAAATGAGAGTAAAGATAATCAAATAAAAATCGGAGCAGAAATTATCAAATATAAATCAGAGCAGAAATTATCAAGTAGAAATCAGAGCAGATATAACCGCATTACAGAAGCATTTGAAAACTAAAGCAATATTAAATAAAGTACATTCATAACCGAGGGCTATTTTGAAAAAAGAGAACTCCTTCCACGATTACATGCTGGCCACAGACACGTGGATTCTTGAGAGCGGTTTAAACAGTGCCGCCTGAATCACAGGGCTATATTTACCCGGTGTGACCAAGGGAGAATTGGATCAAAGTCATCGTTTCTCTGCTCAGACACGCACGAGGGAATTTCTCATTTCCGGTGGCAGCCCCTAAGCCTCTGGCAGTAATTCCACATTCCAATGACAGAGGTAATTCATTCCATAGGACAATTTTAGTTTAGTGTACATATATATAATCCCTTGAGATGGAACGTCTCATCCGCAAGGGAGTCCACGGTGTCAATTGATCACCGTTGACTTCAACACGCAGTAGGCTTTCGCGACCAATATTATCCATAGTAGGGGGTTTTTTTTTGTTAGATCGTGTAAATATAAATGTGTCGTTAAACCTGCCACCACCTGTCACAGCCAATTAGTAAGGTTTGTCAAGTAAACATTTGCATGCTTTGTTTACAGGACAAACCTTACTAATTGCCTGTGCCAGGTGGTGGCGGATTAACAACACATTTGTATTCACGCGATCTAACTCTAAAACCTTTTTTTTATGCTGCCGCCCCCTGCATCCTGCTTCCCGAAGGCTGGAAACCCCCTTAAGGACTGTGATGTGGCTGATGATGTCACCGAGCTCTGCCCAACCCCTCTCATCTAGCATGCACGTGTGGGAACACGTTGAACTTTCCCCTATTTTCCTGTTATCCGATTCGGCAAGAAAATAAAGCAACAATCGGTGGCGCAGTCGATCACTAACACAATCGAATATCCCGGCTCGACCGAGTGTCCGTGGGCCGAGTTCATCCTCAACGAGGCATCAAACTTGCAACTTTTCAACTGCGAGGCCGTTGCTCTGAGCACAACGCCATCCATCCAACATGAGTGCTCAAGCCAAATGCGTTTCCATATCATTTTTAAATAATGTTCGATGCTATCGTTGCGGTTAAATCCATTTAATTGTGCATAGAAGCACTCTGTGATTGCTCGAACGGCATGTGTTAAACTACGTCCCCACCACTTATTAGCATCACATCATTCTCCCCGAGGCAATGCACTCGAAAGGCAGATTGCACTATGAATATACTCCGTACACTCTGCACTGAAAAAATCATGGGGGGTGGCATCGTGTGGCTTGCCAGTTACAACGGCACAGAGATCCTGAGGAACCAGGGTTGATTCCAAACCTCGCACAATGAGGTGGACTCGGACTCACATTCCTACTTGGCGCTCTGCGTGAACATCAGATCCTGGGGAGGTGTGATGCCGGCTACACTACCCCTACGTGTGCTGCGTCAGTGCTAAATAGGCGTTCGCAAAAAGCACTTGTCCCCACTGCCATTATAAGACCGAACCTACTGGTGTCATTGTGCAGCGTCGCTGGCAGGCAACTTGGAGGGATGCTTCAAGTGCATCCTGAGTCAGAGCCTGCCGCAGCGTGCCATCAGCTCCATCGCGCACGCGTGACAAGCGCGTAACCCCCCCTCGCCACTGCATGGCTGGCGTGACGCCGAATCGAGGGCTTCAAAGGTGGAGCGGCGCCGTGGCCGTAGCTCGCGGGCGCTTGGGCGTTCAGGGGAGCGCGTGTCCCTCGTTGCTACGCGATGTTTGTTCCTAATCCAGCGCTTCACTCTGGAAAGTAAGCAAACTGGTTTTCCACCCCAGCAAGAATGTCATGCAGGTGCCAAAATGCCTGCCAACCATTTATTTTCATTCATTATTTCATACCTTTACAGTCTCCGTATACAGTGACGGAACATTTTCCCGCCCTCCCACTGACTCTTCCTTCCACCTTTGCGGTGGCGGCGGTGGCTTTTGTTCTGCCCCTCCATCGGTGGCACATGGCCCAGACGTGAACCGGAACCACGCACCCGCCGTGACCGCAGCCTCGCGGTCTCCACGTGCGCGCACGCAGGATCCGACTCGTCCCGCGCGAGCCCGTCTCTCCCACAGGCGACGTGCAAATTGGCTACGAGGGGGCAATGCCGCCCTCCGGCATGTTCCCCATCCAAGCGCTTAACGCCAGCTTCCACAACTATTCTGAAAGCCAATGAGCCAAGACAGTGATCATTAATAATTGAAATTACAGACCTTTGTCAGTTCACTGCTGGATGAGGGTCTCGGCACACCGTATCGATCATGGGCGTTGTTTGACCATACTTCTCCCTGCTGGTCACTACGGGTTGTTGAAAGAGAGGCCATAGATGTTGCCCTGGCCAGGAATGAAACTCAGGTCGCCGGGTACATAGCACAGTGTGCTAATCACCGCAATAGACATCCTCGTGTTTGAGTGATCCGGCCGGGTGGTGCTGTCGTTGGCGCGCTCGCCTCAGGATGAGGAGGGAACGAGTTGAAATCTCGACGAGGGCTCGGCACAGCTCATCCCTCTAACAGACAACCCAAGTTCCACTTTGTGGGAAGTCAACAAGGGTCCTCTGTTTAGCGACTCTGGCCTTTGCCATAAGAATGTGGAATTTCCACGAGTGGCTTTAAGCTGCAGAGATGAGCGCCTGCCCCTATTGGTTGTTTGAGCAGGCCGACATTTTTACTTTGGGACTCAATAAATGAGTGCAGTAATAGCAGTAGTGGTCGTATTTACATGCTAAGACAGTCACTGAAAACCGGATCTCGCAGGATGAGTGAACCCAGATGTCGACACGCATTCCTACAACATCCGGCCAGCCCTGACTTCCCTGCGTAGCCCGGCCACAGAAGAAATGTCCTTACCAGATTCACGAGAGTCGGTCCTTCCTCGCCACGTGGGTAATCAATGTCACCCCAATGCAGAGACATCTCGAGTAGCAGCTGTGGCCTGACCTTTAGAGCTCCACGGCTCTGACCGTACCAGGGAATCGCATGGCCGCTGCAAGTGGCTCCTTTGTGAATAGAGTTTAAAGCTCGCATGGGACTCACAGCCTTGGTGAAAAGATAAAGATGTCGCCATAGCCACAGCCGCCGCTGATGCCACCACCGCCAGATCGCGCAGCGACCTCCAATATCCGTATGGAGGCTCTCTCAACATGTGCCCTTTGGTCTTCTCTTCCCATCGGTCACTGGATTTGTGGAGTCTGCTCCAATGCCGGTCTCAGCAGTCAGCCCACCCCATCCTCTCAGAGGCCAATGGCTCCCACAACAGAGCAGTGAGACCCTGGGTAATATCTTGGTTACTCAAAGCAGATGCACCTCTCAGAGGCCAATGACTCCCACAACAAGCGGGGCTACACCTGGAGTATTGTTGAATATGATTCGGTCCCAGAATGCATGGGCAATTTCATTCATGAAAGAGCCTTAATTGATCATGTCTATTAAACGACACACGTTCAACGCAGGGTGTGCCTTAGCCCAGATTATTTCATTCACAATGAAAAAATAATTTCGTGTAATTCCCTGCCTAATGTGCTGTATAAATGACCTATGCTTTCATGACGTCTGTTGCTGGTGATTTAGTTTTCATCGAATTCACACGCAATGCTCGTATTTGTCGACAGAAACATTTATCATATTTGCGTGCACGCTTCCAACATGCTTGCTTTAAAGAGAAAAACGCAGCTGATTTGAACTTGCCTGAACCAGAGCAACACTGAGTACCTACAGAAGTGTATTTCCAAGAGCAGACGAGCAAGGGTTTAATATCAGTCGTCAGTTTTACGAACATTCCTTATTGCAGTTAGGTGACTATGTGAGCATTGTCAAGAGATATGACCTTGTTTCACCCAATGTAGTTAAGCTTTTTTGCAAGGGCCTTCACCTCAAGGTCAAACAACCAAAGGTGACTCGGTGGCTGGGTTCGAATCACGCTCGGCCTCCCCAGTTACACCAGCTTCCCGAGTGCAGAAAGTGTATTTATTAAATTCGCCATTATGGGGGCAAGGGTTGGTGGATCACGCAGAGATTTCCAAACCCACTGAGCTGCAAGATGGCCAGGTGACGGTGGTACAGCGTGTGGGATATTTAGTCCATCTTTGCAGATCTCTGAGTGGTATTCCTGGCATGCATAATGATAATAATTTCATTTTATATAGCGTCTTTCATTAATGATCCAGTTCCGTACAAAAAATACTAAAATAAAACCGTACTACTTAGCTAAAAAAATAAGAATACATAAATAACGAGAAAACAATGCATATCAGAATAAAAAAGAATTGCAACGAAAGGCATGGCTTATCTTTACTTATGACGGTCCCTTCCCAAACACAAACATAAATTAGCCAAATATTCCAATGCAGAACCCTTCTGAAAGAGTCTCAGGAGACTCGGTGATGCTTGAATAAATGGCATATTACGCATTTCTGATATATTCTTTATTGATGCAATCGTTTGTACCAAGAACACAAATCATTTCACTGTCGGTGAAAAACCTTGCATAAGCCCAGACTACATGTAGACTCCAAGTAATAGGAATAATAATTACCAGACCTTTTATAAATCCACTGCTGGATGGAGAACTCCCAACACTGTCGGTCACAGCATTGGTTTTGCCATACTTTGCCAGGCTGGTCGGTGTGAGTTGGTGATCTAACCCAAAACACCTCTATTATGGGTTGTGTAAAGCGTGCTTTTATATTTAATGTCGAAGGCTAGCTATGGGAAGGAGGCACATTGTCTGCGTATTTATTGTACATCTTACGAATCTCCTGTCTGATACGGTGCTGATCTTGGCGTGGCCCGTTTCTTTTAGGAGAACAATCGACGGCGGTGTCTGAACAGCAGCGCAACTTTTCCTGCCGCTTCCGCTGCCTGCTGGACAACAACTCTGGGTTCATGGTGAACAACAACCTCTGGGTCATCCTCACCGCTAATCGTAATCATCGTCATCAGGATTCAAATTGGAGTCTTAGGGCTGCATTGGGGCGCCACGATGGCGAGATGTTAATTACCTCGCTTGGTATACAGGAGGTCGTGGGTTCGATCCTGACCCTAATGCCTGCTGTATATTTGGAATTTGCATGTTCTCCCTATGGTTGCGTGGTTTTTTCTCCGGCCACTCCGGTTCTTCCCTCCACATTTAGAACATGCGTTTCTTGTATTTGGCTGCTATCAATTTTCACATAAGTCACTTTGATGAATGCTATCATCTGTGACCAGGTGACTTCTGAAAAAAGAGATGTATAGCTCAGTGGGCCTTACCTGATGAAATAAAATAGTTTAGTTTAGTATTCTTAGTCCCAGCTCCGCTCTGGCTCGGCCTCTTACAGGCTTGAGCTGCTCAGATACTTTCAAAGGTGCCCGAGCAGCTCAGCCGTGGCTCGGGCTCGGCTTATCGAAGTCCCCAGCACAGCTGAGACCACGGCTCAGTCCACTCAACCTGAACATGGCTTTGAGCCGGGTCACTTGAGGAAGAAAAAATTCTACGCCGAACCGTAGCTATGAACGGAGGCCTCAATGATGCGTGCCCCTACGCTGGGAATTATTTGATATATTGTCACAATTCAGGATCACCATCTGTTTCTCGAATGTATTTTTTGTTTGTTTAATATTATGCTAAATTTAGCAGCCTCTAGTGGCTTGCCTGGGTTACTTCAACCATTACACGTGCACATGGCGGGCAGTAAGTGAAAAGGATAAATCGCGTGTTAGCCGTTGACTCGTGGTATGACATTAAAGGGCTTTGGTTTCTCGAGGCCAGAGCTCATGGAAGTGTGCAGTTATATTTGGAGTTTACCTGTTCTCCCCATGGTCGCGTGGATTTTTCTCCGGGTGCTCCAAACTTAGAAACATGCGTTTAGAGTATTTGACTGCTATCAATTTCCACAAGATGAGCCACTTCGTTGAGCTATCATTTGTGACCAGGTCGCTTCTGAAAAAGAGCTATATAGTTCAGTGGGTCTTTCCTAGTCAAATAAGAAATACTAATAAATAGTTGTAATTACTGGCGAAACGTCGTACTCAGATTGTAAATATTACGGCTTTGCTTTCCAACACACCGGTGTGCTATACTCGTAACGAATTGACATGTTCTGGTTAGGTGATAAACCTTACTAATTAGCTGTGTCAGTTGGTGGCAGATCTAACGACACATTTATATATTTAGGTGATCTAACCCAAAAAAACCTGTATTATGGATAGTAATTTACAAAATAACTTAATTTGACATGTTTTTGGGGGGGGGCAGCCATTGTGGTAATCTAGATCATCCAATCAATCCACCTGTCAACAAAAGTTTATTTTCCAGGCAGTGAGCGTTTGTGAGTTATCAAGTCTTTCCAGAACTCCGCCCAAATGGCATTTGAACGTATTGGTGGTACACCGGCGCGTGGTATAAAGAAAGCAAATTTTTACACAAATTATTTACTTTTCGGTGATTCGCAACCCCCGGTTAGAAAATCTTGCGGGGTGAGCGTCAAAATCAGTTCTCGTGATGTCGAAGCAGTCGGAAGACGAATGTCAGTTCAAATTATACTTTTAGAACTGTTTTTATGAGGACCGGTGTGTGTTACGCTGCACCGGTGTACCGCCGCGGAATGCCTATCGAACAAAAGCTTTGGGGAGATGCTTTTGTTGAATCTTGAAGGACACGGAGTATCATTGATGGCCTGTGTGGTCTTGCCGTGCCGCTCGTCCTTCCAGATGATTCAGGTGCAGGGCAAGTTAAAGCGGCTGGGCGGCGGCGGCGTTGGCTCCATGGGCGCAGGTGGTGGTGGACCGGCGCTGTTTGCCCTTGCGGTTCCGCAGAATCCCATGCTGCCCACGGAGCTGCGGCTCTGGAACATCATCTTCACCACGAAGCACAAGCTGGACTTCTCCACGCTCAGCCTGGACTCCAAGTACGGGGGGCCCACGTGTGCCTGTAACATTTTTTATGCAGCCAGCTGCTCGCGGGCCTTGCCCCACATTCTTGTCAGCCCTGGTGCCACACACCTCCAATTAAAGTACCCACACAGGAGAATTATCGAAATTGCGTTGTTATATTTTGGCTTCTGCACCTGTCAAAAACCTCCTGATTAGCTCTAAATCATTGGTCAGTTGCCTCCTTATCACTCTTATATCGCTAATGCAATGGTAACTGTTCCCATTTACATCACTCGTTGATTCCTCCACCCATTTTGATTTAAAGCTTTCGTGACTGCAGGGATTCATCTTCTTGGTTCTTTCGGTAAAGTCACGTACAAGGGAAGTAACAAAATAATAAAAAATAATAAAAATAAAACATAATAAAATTATTCTCACGACGTTTCGGCCACAACGCAAGCAGCCGTCCTCAGGTGAAAACCAGGTCCGTCGAGGCGACAGAGTCTGAATGAAACAGCACACGAGCTTGGAGCATATATATAAGCTGGGCGCATTGACAAAGGAATTTGCATATCAAGAGGAATTTAGCATATTTATGGGAAATGCAGGAATGTGATTAGTACTGCATGCTCTCGAACAAACGACCACACCCCATGTTGTGAATTCGTTATTAGTAGAAATAATCAGTTTTAACTTTATTGACTTCAAGTATGTATTTTTTTTTAGAATTTTGAGAATTTTCTGTACCATGGCCCATGCTGGCCATGTTGCTTGCGTCCCACACAGGGCCCGGCTGGTGCTGGGCTACACTAACGTGGAGTTCCGGAGGCGCAAAGCGGTCAACTTCCAGCACCTGGGCGACATGCTCTACTTGAAGGCAAACAACCTCATACGTGAGACGCGCACCACCGTTGAACACCTCTGCCGTCGTAAAGAAAACTTACATTTTAAAAAATATATAGACATATATATCCCTATCTGGCACACACTGTTTAGTTATACCTCTTGATATGGCTCTGGCTACAAGCACAGAGGGTTTAACTGTACACTTGTTTGGCCAGGAAAGCCTGACCGTGTTGCAAAACTCTCTTTGAGGGGGGTGTCCTGTTAAGTTTCTGTAGAAGGGGGGGGCAGCGATTGCCTGTGGCTGTGTGTTTCCACATTAAGTCTTTTTTTTCAAAATTTGGACAATTTGAAAAAAAAATTGGGACCTTAACACCAGCTCCGCAATTGCCTACTCTGCATCCGACGACATCACAGAATCGTTTATGTCCACTTTTAAGTAGATGGTGAAAGTTTTATGCTACAGATTCGAGCCCACGAACCTCGGTCTCACGACATGACAGCGCTATTTTGAATGTAATTTGGAGAATAACATAAAATAAAGATCCTGAGGACAGGGTAAACCAGACGCCAGGCTATGAACATGGGCCCCATCCCTTGAAGCCGGGTCCGCGCCGCCCGCGCTAACGATACGGCCGCGAGTCGTCAAGAGGCTTCGGGTGGCGCGGGTCGTGACTGCTGTCTGTCCCGTTGACGTCCCTGGCAGTGATGAGGAACGGGGAGAGCGAGCCCGTGGTTTTCCGCCTGCTCAGCAAGCAGGGCAAGTGGCTCTGGGTGAAGGCCTCCGCGCGAATCATCTACCGCAAGGGCAAGGCCGACTTCATCATCGCCACGCAGTTCTTGCTCCGGTACCGCACGGCAGCACGTTGCCCTTTTTTTCCGCGCGCATCCGGTCGCACGTAACGACATGCATTGCTTTTTCTTTACTTACCCGTTCAAATATTTTGCAGGGAAATTACATTGAGATTGGACATTTTGCTTTCAAGGGCGTCCAGGGTGTCAGTTGATACGTACATGTCAAACATGTGGCGAAATGTACACATTCCTATACACGTGTACACTCACATTGTCACACTGATACTCATAAATATACACACAAAAGTAAAAAAAAAAACGTATAGTCTGACCAGATTGTTGGGGCAAGTGTTGTTAGCGAGCACCTATGAAGGCCAGCACCACGCCCGGCCGCCTTTGGCTTCCTAGTCACGATGTTTATACACCGCAACAGGTACTCTGAGTTAACCCAGGGGAGACATGTATCACTGGTGTTGGCCGTGAGCGTGAATTGAACTTGGGCTGCTGGGTTCGTAGCGCAGCACACTAACCGCTGCACTACCACTCCCCATATACAAAAAAAGATTCCTCGTATAGCCTTAACAGACTGTTGGGGCAAGTGCTGTTGGCGAGCAGCACCTATGAAGGCCGGAACGGCACTAAAAGTGGTGGATGGCCAACACCGTGTCCAGCCGCCTTTCTCTCCCAAGTGGCGATGTTTACACACTGCACCAGGTACTCATTTTAGGCTGAGTCGACCTAAAGGAGGCCCGGAGCCGGGTCAGATAATCGTCATAGGTGTTGACCGTGAGCAGTAATCGAACTCGGTCGCCGGGTTCGTAGTGCCATGTGCTAACCACTGCACTACTGCTCCCCACACATACTCACACATAGCAAACATGCAATGACACGTACATACACACTTTTCATTCCATTACTCATACAGCATGCATTTATACGGTGATTATTGCACCCAATAAAAAACGCATCAACAAATACTGACCATTAATGATAAAATGGAGCCTGTTCACCTGGAGTGCACTCTCGCTGTGACACTGACCGCGATGCGTGTGGGCAGCAGAGAGCAGTGCAGTGAAATCCATTGTTGCTATGCGCTACGCTCCCGCGCCTACATTAAGGCATTTTCCGCCAATTAATGAGCATTGGTATGTGGGAGGATACCGAAGTACCCCGAGAAAGCCCACACATCCGATGAGGACAACACTCTATCCTGTACAGATCGAACAAGTGAAATTCTCACTGCTATAATTCTCCACATGATAAGCCACTTTGTTGAGTTACGATAGCTGGGTCGTTTATAAAATAAAAAGTTTAGTTTGTAGTTTAGTTTAAACCTGTTTAGCTTTGGAGATTTGATGAGATTAGGGCATTATGGGTGATTTTAATAGTGTTCATTATTTCTATCAAGAGGGAATCACAGTCATTTCCATCGGTGCCATTGTGTCTCTCTGACAGACCCTGTAGCTATTGCATGACCAGCATGGTCGGCTACTTCCGGTTCAACATATACACATTAAGTTAGCGACTTCCGAGACACGTCATGTAGAAGGCTTCTTATTTATTAGGAACACACTGGGCGATACATTTATGTAACGCAGCTTCACATAGCCGACCCTATCACACAACCCCATTGTGGTGTCCAAGTACACAGTTGTCCGACTAGCGCAGCGACGATGAGAGCCTTGCAGAAGATGGGCCACGTGGTCGGACGACGAAGAGAGATGACGGCGAGCAGTCAGGACCCAGGACCCACAAGAGCACCGAACCTCTGGTTCCGTCGCCCTTATATACGCCCCAGCGCGGCCAAGCCCCGCCTCTGGCCACGCCCCCTTCTAGAACATTCAAGCAGTTCCTGGAGCTTCGACTGACTCCGCCCTTTCACCTTTTCCCCAGATATGCCCCCCTCATAATTAGGCATTACGTTATATACCCATAACCGTGATTACCCCTTCAGGCCGACAGGTGGCGCCCTGTCATTACACATACATTCTTCCAGCGAGCCAGGGTATGGCAATCTCGACGCCTATGGGAAGGGAGTTTCACAACGTCTGTGCGGCGATCCACTTACCCTCGCTGCTGCCTCCACAGTGATGGATTACAGTCCACATGGATAGCCACCACCTCTGTTTGATGGATTCAATGTCATTTATTTTTTTACGATTAAACAAACACACACGTGTTGCCAACTGCAACACGTGTGTGTTTGCAAAAGTGTGTATCGTTTCCAACTCAAATCGTTGTCCCCTGGTGGTGCATGCTCGTCTCTCGGCAGGGACGAAGAAGGAGAATATTACCTGAAGAACCGAAATCCCGAATGCAAGTTTGACGTCACTGGTGAAGCGATTGCTGTCTCGCAGATCCCTCCCATAACTTCCCAGCAGCCCAAAGCCAAACTGTGCCGCAGCAGCAGCAGTGATAACAGGAGCATCAGTGGCGGCAGCAAAGCCGGCCAGGAGCTTACAAAGAGATTGACAAGTAAAGCGAAAATTACGGACAGGCCAAAGAACGGCACCTGCGTCACTGCGGAACCCGCGTTGACTCTGCGGGACACTAAGACCTCCCTGTACACCGGAAAGATGGCCCAGGAAAAAAGAGACATCTACCACCGGGCCGGGACCTATCCAAGCAGCCTTTCTTCAAGCAGCAGCCCCGACTCGGCGGAGAGCTTCCCCTCCGAGTGGGAGGAGCGTCTGACCGACCCCTCGACCCTCCCGGACGACGCCTTGGCGAGGGGCAGCCCCCCTGGTCGGGGCTTGTCACAAGGGGTCCCAGGCTCAGCGCTCAGGGACGGGGCATGTGGACAGCTCGGGCTGGTGGAGCACGCTAGGAAGGAGGAGAGGGACTGTGGATTCCTCAGCCTCCTGAACAGGTACAAAGTAGGGGTAGGGGTTTGGGTTCATTTTATTCGTGTTGAAGCCAGAAATCAGCACGTCCTTTAGAAGTGAACGTCCATCCATCCATCGCTTCCAGCCAGCCAGAAAAACTTGTCATCTAATGTAGAGCCCTGTCTCCCGCCACCTTTATCTTTCCTTCTCTGTGCTCTGTATCCGAATTTACCTCAATTTCTTGCTGTCTCTGTTTTTCTGTTTCTCTCTTCCTCTGTCACCTCTTTTACCTCTCCCTCCCTCTACAATCCTCTCCTCTCTCCACTCTATCTCACCCACTTCCCTCCTCCCTACCTCTATCCCTGTTCCTCTCTCTCTCACCTCTCGCCCTCATTCTCCTTGTCCCCAATCTTTATTGCCTCTCCCTAGTTCCTCCCTCGCACTGCCCGTCTCCGTTTCACGCCATTTCGCTATCCCCCGTTTATCTCTCTCCCTTCCTTCGCTTCCCCCCCCCTCTATTGCATTTGCGCGGGATCCACAGCGCGACGACCGAACGTGACCCGACGCTGTGGGATGCGGGTGACGTCATCACGCAGATGTGTGCGGTGACATCACCGCTGCGGCACTTGTGCGCCAGCCAGCCAGTAATCCAAGCAGGAAGCAAGCCAGCAAAAGTTTTTCTTGCATATTTTATTTCAGTAAAGAAATCGCTTGAGATGGAATATTGATTGACATGCTCACACACAATAACGTGGTGACAGGTGTACACACATTTTAAATCTGTAACGTAATTTGTACTTTGAAGACCTCACAAAAAGTCACTCGCAGCTCTGCTAGCCGCAGAGCCAGGCTGCATCTCAGTCCGTTTGGGGATTGTTTCTGGGTTTTGGTTTCCAACCCCCTGTCTGTCGTTTCCCTCTTTGCACACTGGGGATTTTGTCTTTCCCTCCTCTGTGGTTGTAAAGCACCTTTGAGACACCATGGCAATTACCTTTTGAATATATGCAAATCCTTATCCTTAAATTGTTTGTTCATGAGAAAAAATCCTCTCACCTTCAGGTGTCGTGTTGTTGTGATGTCGCCGTGGTGTGATGGGCACACTGTCAGTAACGTCGCCGTGTACAGCCAGTCGATGGGCTATTTTCTCGTGAAAATGCTTCAAGCTCGTGTCATACTAAATTCACTCACCCACCCCGCGGTCTGTCGCCACTGCATCACTTTTCTACCATCGCTACTGTGGTTACTGTTCCCGTGGACTTCTCTCTTGATTCCTCACACCCACGTTGAGGAATGAGTCTATCAGACTGACTCACTGTCATCTCGTCCACACTGTGCTCAACGACTTAATGGGTGTCTGTTGTGCAGGTAATGTGTCCTTTGCGCGGATGTGTGAATGTGTGTTTTCTATGGTGTGTGGGAGCGGTGGTGTAGCAAGTCAGCGTGCTGCGCTACGTACCTGGCGTAGCGCAGCGTGCTAACGACACGAGTTCGATTCCCACTCACGACCAAGAACAGTGGCGATTACCTGAACTGATCCTGGGCCTCCCCTCTGTCGACTCAGCCTCAAATGAGTACCTGGTGCATTTTGTTAACATTGCCACTGGGGAGACAAAGGCGGCCGGGCATGGTCCTGGCCCCTCACCCCCTTGTGTGCCATGTCAGTCTTCATAATTGCTCGCTAACAGCACTTGCCCCAATAGTCTGTTATGGTTATATGGGGGAATTTTTGTCTTTGTGTGGTGTAGCGATTAGCGCGCAATGCTATGAACCTGGTGACCAGAGCTCGATTCCCAGGCATGACCACCATCACCAGTGACGAATTATCTGAACTAGTCCTGGGCTTCCCCTTGGTCGACTCAGCCTCAAATGAGTACCTGGTATGGTGTGTAAACAATGCCACTGGAGAGACAAAGGCAGCCAGGCGTGGTGCTGACCACCCAACCCTCGTATGCCACTAACAGCACTTGCCCCCACAGTCTGTTAAGGTTATAGTGGGCATCTTTGTCTTACGTGCATGTTCCTGGAGCGGTAGTGCAGCGGCTGGCTCGCTGTACTCCTAACCCAACGACCCGAGTTTGATTTCTGCTCAAACGTTACATGGGGGCATCTTCGTCTTTTGTACAACAGACACGACATGACGGGCTTGGACGTGGTCGAGATGCTGGGCATGGATGCGATGGAAGCGTTGGACGAGGGTGACATCACGGGCAGTGATCGCGTCTCCATTGACGAGGTGCTGGAGGGGGTGTTGCGAGACATGGATGGCGCAGTGGGCCGCTCCGACGAGGAGGCCCTGCTTCACCCGAGCCTCGCCGAGGGCCTGCCGCCCTCCGTTTGGATGTTCCTGCAGAGCATGGACCAGGCGAGTGTCACTCGCTGTGAACAGACGGTGCCTCAGCTGTCCCCCGAGGGCCCGGCGTCCGAAAGTCCCTCCGACGAGCAGCTGGACGTCATCAGCGACACCGACGTGGACCCTTCGTTGGAGCTTCCTGAGGACCTGGGACCCCTTAAGTCCACCGCTAGAGCTCTGAACACGTGCCCGGTGCGAGGCATTATTAAAGAGTGCAACTGAAGACTGCCGCGGCTTTCGAGCACCGCTTGTTTCTGCTGCCTGGCTCCTCTGTCGTTCGTGACATCGGCCTCAACAGCCAAGGCAGTGGGCGGTATTCAGGGTAAGAGCCATAGATCGCGTCGGTCATCGCTCCCTGCCATAAACGCGACTGCGTGCGGACATTTCCGATCAAAGCTTTCAAAGGTGGACATTTTTTTAAGAGATATAGGATCGAGTTGTACTGTAGGACCCCGTTTCAACAGAACTTGAGGCCATGCTCATGTCTCCACATTGTGAGGCAACTCAAGCTGGCTTCCCAATCCAGGCCGGGGCACAAAATCTCACGGACGATTGCACTTCCTGGAGCTGCCTCATCCAAATTCCGCATCAGAATATGGGCCGAGCGGTTAATTATATTTTGGGGAAAGACCTCTCCAATTCACACGCTTATAACTCGAGCGGCTCGGAAAGCCTCGGACACCTCGAATTCTGGGAAGAATGATGGGAACGAGGCGTGTGAAATGGGCAGCTTAAAACTCTCGGCATACGGTGATGAATGACAAATGACTTGATTCGGTTGCGTATGGAATTATAAAAAAGTTTTGTAACCTATAATTATTTCATAAATTCAGGTATTCAGAATAATTACACGCGACTACATTGACCTTCCATGAACAGTGACCAAAATGTTGTTGTACCTTTTAATGCTTTGGCAACTTTTACGTATGTTATTTCGTGTGCCATTATAGATGTAATATATATATATACTTCCTCTACAATGTATTCCTCGGTCTGGCGTAAAACAGGGCGACTGTTATATTTCATTGCCTTTTGTTTGCTGCGTAGAGGCGTTCTAACTCCAGCTGACTCGGCTTTGTACGTGCTCACCACAGCCAATGCAAACGAGACACCTGTACGGAGTCGAGTCTCGGCCAGTGCTATGCCCTTGTGTAAAGTTGCAATAATGAGCCTGTGATGCAGTTGTAACTAAACAGATGCCAATGACAATACGAGAACAAATTTTGGCGATTGTGTAACTGCATTGACATATCTCATCAGAAATATACACTAACTCCCAAAACATCGTCTGGCATTGTTTTTTTTATATATTTAAGGGATTTGTGAGAGTGAATGAAACAATGACCTTTGCAGGGTACAAAGTTGAGAGCTCATTGAGACAATAATTGTATTCATTCAATTGAAATGATTGTTGTTCATAGTTTATAAACAAGCATTGCCTATATTATACTTATTCCCAAGAACATTTTGTTTTATATTCGTGTTTTACAATCACTGATTCATTTTAATTTACAGCTCTGTCGATCCGCTGCTAGATGAAGGCCCTCCCCGCTTCGAAGCCGGCGATGGGGGTTCCTTTGGCCATACTTCACAATGTCGTAAACGTGCTATGCGTAGTTACACACGAGCGTGGTGCCTTGCGTCTGTGTGTCAGTGGGTGTGTAGTGTAGGGGAGCAGGAGTGTAGCGGTTAGCGCACTGCGCTATGAACCCGGCGATCCGGGTTCGATTCCCGCTCATGGCCAACACCAGTGACGATTATTTGAACCGGTCCTGGGCCTCCCCTAGATCAACTCAGCCTCAAATGAGTACCTAGTGCTGTGTGTAAACATCGCCACTGGGGAGAAAAAGGCAGCCGGGCGTGGTGCTGGCCACCCATCCCATCATGTGCCACAGTGCCGGCCTTCATAGGTCCTCACTTACAGCACTTGTCCCGACAGCCTGCTACAGGCTATACGGGGGTTTTTTGTCTGTCTGTACAACGCGGTGCCCCCACTCGTCGTCGGAGATTGCAGCGTGGAGCGTCGCGCACGAACAAGCTCCCCCACACCTCGCCCACGGCGTGGGATTCTGTTTTTGATATTTCCCCTTTTATCATCTCCAGAGGTCAGCGGCGCACCCTGCCTGTCGCCCAATCGCCGCCTCGCCCCCGCCACTATCTATCTATAGACGCAAATGGCATTTAATTCCCGCACGAACGTCCGTGTCCTCAAGAGACGCACCAACGAAACACGCGTTTGAACTGCAGCTAGCCGTGCATCCAGTCAATGTATGTACGTGTATATGTTGAACTTATTTCGCACCGTACGTAGCCAACCGCGTTAATCGAAGGTGCGGGGGGGGGACAACAATCTAAACACAAAAAGCAGTTTTAAAGAAATTAGTTTTCAAACTCTGGTCACAGATTGGTGTAATTTACAACCTGGCTTTTCGTACTGTTTGTGCACGCTTACAGAGCACGCACAGCCTCCCCCCCCCCATTCCCCACCTCTGATTGTCAAATCACTGCAGGATGACAGCCGAGAGCTCTCAACGGCATGCGGGCCACGGACACCGTCAGGAACGAAGGGTGAGGGAAGGGGGCGAGAGCGGCCCCCTCCCGAGAGGAAGTCGACTCGCGTGGCTGGGACGAGGCGCGCGCAGGGAGGAAAACAAACGGCGGGAGGAGGAAGCTGATGGACGTAGAAGCGCCGGGGTTGGAGGAGGTGGTTCGAGGTGGTTGAGACAGGATTTGCACGACCGTCGAGTAGACGTGAAGATGATGACCCGGGACAGGAGTGGGTAGAAAGACAGGAGCAGGAAGTCAGGACTCCACACGAGTGGGGATATAATACCAAGAAGAACCAATATATATGTTTCTTTAAGTCAAAGTTATTTTCCACCACCTTTCAGATAATTGTGAAGTGACGCTCGTGTCTAGATTCTATCTGTAAGCCTGCGGTGACATTTCTACGTTCGTATGGCAGGGAGTGAGCCTCTCAAAAGTGGCGCCACTGTTGACATCCCACAAAGTGGTGCTCATCGATTGGAGAGGGGGAGAAGCCGCTTGGAGCCCCAACCAGGATGTGCCTCAGCATGCCGATCCCACTGCGTCTCTGTGCCACGTGATATAAAGAAACGAAACAAACACGGCCACAACAGTTTCTGGGAATTATGTATTTAAACGTGTGTTTCGTTACAGGTGCATGCACACTCAACCAACCATATGCCAAATACTAACATGCGACAGTTTATCTCAAAGGGATATCTCAGGGTTGCCTCATCCGTAGCTGGCTTTACAGAGGCGCAGTGATGTATTTTTGTATCACCACGTCAAACTGTCCATAGAAACGTCCTGTCGTCGTCAGATGACATTTCGAGAAACAATTTGAGTTTAAAATTGCATTTCAAAATCATGAGCGTCTTATAGACCACTGATCTTGTGGTCAGACGACCCAACTAACTGTGGCACATTGCAATGTAGCACGCGTTGGTCACCTTTTTGTTTACTGAACGAAGAAAAAGTCAACTTGTGAAAACGTCAGTTTAACATGTGGCGGGTGGTGGCGGATTTAATGACACATTTATATTTACGCGATCTAACCCAAAAATCATGTTGTGTTTTGAAAACGTGTTTCCAAAAACGTGTTGGGAGAAGAAAAACAACCTTCCATCAGTTCTTCAGACGTTTAAATCCATGTTTTCAAGCAAGTTCACTCACACCTCATACACACGCACAGCCGGTTTGTCACTCCACCGCTGGATGAGAGTCTCCCCATGCACTGCAAGTCGTGGGGATTATTTCACCATATGTCAACCACCCTGGTCAGTGCGGGTTGGTGAGGGTGGGGAGCATAGACGTGCAGGACAACAATTCATTTTTCTGCACTGCCCTCCGCTGCCCACCGCGTAGCCGCGCATAACCCCACGGCAACCTGCGTGTGTCTGGTGGCCGCTCTTCCACAGCGTCTGAGACCTGACAAGGTTGGAGGATGGCCTGTTTCTGCAACGACACCAAAAAAACCCATAAATTGGCTTGCTTTTTTTTTTATCTCGGTGAGGGATTATCATCGCGTCCTTGCGAAAAGATCGAACGAGCCCCACGCGGGAAACTCCCTCGAGATGCGTCCAGGGCTGAGAATATAAACGTTGAACTTCTTTCGCACCGTACACGGCCAACCGCGCTAATCGCAGGTGAATGCGCACCGCATCCGAGTCGCTTGCTCACTCGGATGTGGTGCGCATTCGTCACCGACTTATGCGGAGCTTTATTCTCAACAACAACTATGCCTCGGAGAGTCACGTGACATTTGTTGATGAGTTGTGCATCCGGAAACTTGGTCAATTCTATTTACGGATGATTGGGAATAGCTCAACGGCAGAGTGTGCAATACAGTAATGGTGAATTGTGGATGTATGTCTGTTAACCTTCTTTCCCACCGTACGTAGCCAACCGTAATAATCGGAGGTGCGGGGATAAAACAAACTAAGGAAATTAGTTTTTAATATAGAAGTTTTCAACCATCATCATCGGCATCATCTTTATCGCCATCACCATGTATCCTTATATCTGTCTTCATTACCACTATCAGCATCGCTTATCATCACCATCATCAATAAAATGAGTACCACTTTGTAAAGAAATTAACAGTGATTGATTCTCTAGGAGGGAGGCCCCCACTATAGGAATATAGAAATTTCACAACTGGCTCAAAGGACTTCAAAAGTACCAACATATTTGTCTATCCACGTAAAAAAGAATAAACGTATTTTACACATCCCATTAGCCATGAGGCCTTCTTGGAGTTTATTTTCTCAACCGCATTGGTTCAAAAAGAGCAAACTGTGGACCAGTTTCGACATTCAGTGTCTCGCCAGCACAGGCCTGACTAAACTAATCCTGGCGAAACCAGATGCTGATAGGAAATTACGCGGACGATCTGTCAGATAAGGGCCCTGATTCGTGCAAAACTATAAATACACAATAAAATAAATGGATTTAAGAACGAAAAAAGATGTACATTGCAATATGCAACAGCTCGCAGCCTTATCCAGACCACCAGTTCAACAAAAACTGCATTTGTGGCTATTTTGTTGTATGGACCGCCAGCCCCAAGGGTTGAGATGAGGCCGAGAGCTTTACACACGGAGTGCCACACCTCTCTGTGTGCTGCTAAATATGTGTGTGCACCAACTTTCCGGTTGCGGTGTGGTTTTCTCGTCATTTACGGATTTGAAGAAAACAATCACGAGAAGTGGTTGTGGAGAATATGAGTCACCTAATAGCTAATAAGTGGACAACGAACGAGGGAGACGCATTGTCAGCCTCGTTACTTCAGAAGCCTCGACGCCGCCACCACCGTGGACAAGCACGAATCGGGCTCAGTGGGAGAGAGACGCCGCACGGCGGCGGCAGTGGTGAGCGGGTGACGGTGCGGATGGGGAGTTCGTGAGAGGGGAGCGCGGGTGGTCATAGGGTGACGGGGGCGGTTTGCGTGACGAGGCTGCCGCTGCGAGTGTGCGTGCGTGTAAGAATAGAGGGAGGTTGCGTGCAAACAGCTGTCACGGAATGTGACCCCGCCTGACGGAGCGATGTTATCTCCCCCCCCTCTCACCTGAATGCGGCGAGGCGGCATTCCGACCTCGAGAAGCTTACACGCAGTCACGCTATGTGTGTTGCTCCTGATGAACGTGTGCTCGTGGGGTGGAAGGATGTTTTAGGGCGGGCAGCGGTTGCTGGGGGTGGTGAGGATGGTTTGTTTTTGGTGGGGTGGGGGGGGTCGATGTTAGTTATGGTAGTGCCTCTGGGTTATATAAACTGGGCGGCCGTCACGGAAACCAGAGCGTTATTTGTTTCAATCACCGAGTTGCAATGAAGAAAGATACACATCATCAGATTATTTTTGTTAAACTGCAAAAATAAACATCTCGTCACTGGCACACTCCAAAATTCATTTTAATCTGTGCTCCACAACATACAATTCGAAGACCATATAAACTCCACGTGGCTCATCATTGCGACTGCACGCAAGGGAGCAATTTGGTCGTGGTAATTCAACAATGGGGGTAAGAAGGGCTATTCTGGGTAGAAGTGTGGTCAGAGGAAACACACACGTACACACCTCGGGCAGGGACTGGCTCAGTTGAAGTCGTGGGTTTACTCAGCACAACATCCCTCGCAGGTTCGCGCAAATGAGTGACAGTGGTTGTCCTATGGGTAGACCGGCTCTACAATAAGGACTTTGGAATGTCCACTGCTGGCTAAACTATTAGTCATCGACATTATTTTCCAAAATTAGGTTCAATTGAAGGGAAAAAATGCAGATCATTACGTTGGTACAACAACAGCAAAACCACTTTCACAAAAATAGAATTTTTAGCAGTCGTGTGCACGGAAATATTTGCCAACAGTTTGAACCGGGTAAGCACTTCATTGAATGCCTCCCCCCGACCCCTTCACAGCAAA